CGTGTGAGAGGTATGCCGAAACGGGGGTGTGCCGAAACCAGGGGCTGGCCTCAAGGTGGGCCCGCGCCCTGGTAAATGCCCGTTCGCAGCCAAATGCCCTGTCGCTATCTCCAGTTTGGCTCGGTGTGTAGTCTAGTGATGAGTTGCCCTCCGGTAGGTTCGGGAAAGGTTTGGCCGTGGCATTTCCAGCAGTGTCCAGCTCGCTTCAGCATGCCCTCTCCTCTGCCCAGGCCCTCAGGTTCTTGGTGCAACCCTTCGCTCCAGACAGTGGCCTCGGAAATCACCATCGTCAGGGCATGGCCGTTTCTACTAAAGTTTACTGCCAGTCGAGGGGGGGGGGTGAGGGGCCGAATGCTTGCATTGTTTCCACAGCCTTCGGTCCTCGAGCTCCCCCCAGTCCCATCCCCGTCTTTCACGGCAGTGCTTCCCCGTGGCCGTTTCACCGTGCCCTCACTCTGTCAAGGCCTTTAGGTTCTCGGTGCAACCTTGCGCTCCAGAATATAGTCCAACACTTGCCTCGTAAACACATTCGTCAGGACATGGTGATGGTGGTGATGATGATGATGCTGGGGCGATGATGATGATGGTGATGATAACGATAATGGTGGTGATGATAATAGTGATAGTGTTTGTGATGGTTATGATGATGATGCTGATGATGATGATGATGGTGATGCTGATGATGATGATGATGATGCTGATGATGATGCTGGGGCGATGATGATGATAATGGTGATGATAACGATAATGGTGATGATGATGGTGATGATGGTGATGATGGTGATGATGATGATGATGGTGGTGGTGATGATGATGGTGATGATGATGCTGTCGATGATGGTGATGATGATGATGCTGATTCTGACGATGATGCTGATGATGATGATGATGATGATGATGCTGATGATGATGATGATGATGATGATGCTGATTATGGCGATGATGATGATGGGGAGGAGGAGGAGGAAGAGGAGGAGGTGACGCGGGGCGCTGCCTCGTCAAAACGAGACCCAACATCACAGGATGGTTGGGACAACGTCAGGGTGAAGGAATCGAGGATGGGTCGATTCCTCTTGAGGATCCATGTTGCGAAGAAATGGCCTCCGGGTTTTTTGGCCCTGGCCTTCGTCGTGGGCCCCCGTCTTGCTCCCGATCCCCCTTCTCCGTCTCCCCACCCCGTCCTCCCGCTGCTCTTCCTCCTCCTGCGTCTCCCGATCCTTGGTATCCGCGCCGTCGTCTGTGCAGATCGCGATCCTGGGTCGCGGTCCACCCGCGCGTGCGTTTCGGTGTGCTAGTTGGGCGTGGTTTGAAGGGCGGGTCAGGAGCGTGGGTCGGGCGGTCGGTTCGGGTGGATGGGGCGGTTTGGCGAGCCGGGGGCTGTTTTTGTTGGTGTGCCGTGGCAGAGACCCTCGAACCTTCGACAGGAGGAAGGGATGACTTTGGCATCAAACCTCAGGTCGTTCTTCCGTTTTGCCTTCTGTCGCTTATTTTCGCTTCGTTATCATCGTCATCGCCGTCTGACCGCAGTGAAAGTCTAATCAATTGAAATTGTGCAAGGGGGAGAAAGACATTTGCGAATCGCTGAATTGGTAAAGAATGGTGCGATAATATTCAACAAGGTTGTTGAAAACCCTGGCCCTCACCAAAAGGAACGAAACTGGACGATCTCGAGCACGCCGCCCTGCACCCTACTGAAGCCAGGGTACATCGACGACCAGGGTATCGCCGATGATCAAGGTGTCGAGGGCTACATCAATGACCAGGGTATCGCCATAAAGGGCGGCGACCTCATCGAGAACGACATCGGCGCGCGCATGGCCTCGACCTCAGCAAGCACGGGTTTGGCATGCAGGTCGTGAAAGAGGGCAACGGCCCCATCGAGGGCGGCTTCGGTGTGCAGGGCGGCGTGCTCGAGATCTACACTTTCCCATGTGCGGCCGCGTCCCCAGTGGTGGCGGCCGCGCTTGAGGCGGAGTCTGGCGCTTCGGAGGTCGGAAGCGTGAGGGTGGGGAGGGGATGCTGCGGGATCTCATCGGACCCCTGGGGTTTCTCCACAAGCGCGTCGAGTTGGGAATGAATGGATACAGGGGTGGGAGAGCGGAGCGGACGGGAAGGTCGGGTATGACATTGCGGGGGTGGGATATTCAGGAAGTAGTGCCCGCTAGAAGTTCCTTTTGGACCCACCTAGATGATTCCCTCCTCGCTCCTGACCAAGCTACGAGCTCGGGGTTCCCATGCGAGGAGTGTCGCCCAATGGCGATTCATAGTTTAACCCTGAAGGACTGTCGCGCGGCGGCCCGGTCGTAGACCTGGCAGTCTGCGTAGTAATTCTTCCTCGTGTTCGTCGTCCTACTCCTCATCCTCTCCTTTCTCTTCGCAAGAGTTCGAGCAATCGCCTGACCAAACTGGTTTCCGCTAAGGGTACAGCACGGAAGACCACCCATTCACCACGATTTCATTGCATTGGCAATCCTACGAGTGGCAATTTCCATAGTGGACCGTTGCATTCGACTTCAAGAAGGCATTCGATTTCGTCGACGACGAACACCTCTGGAGAGCACTTCGAATACACAACGTACCAGAACCATACATGTTTTGCGGCCGCAATGCTACAGCGAACAGACCACCACAGTGAGGACCGACGCCAACAGCAGCTAAGTCAACATTCAACGCGGAGTCAAGCAAGGTGACCCACTGAGCATGTATTTGTCAAGCGCGGTGCTCGAGCACGGTCTCCGACTGTTCAAACCTTCGTGGGAATGCAATGGATTTGGTATGCATGCAGTTGGGACATTCTAGGGCTACGCAACTCAGTAACTTACGTTTTGTCGGCGGCGTGTTTCCCCTCGCACCGAGCTTACTCCACTGCAATCGAAAGCAATTCTCCAGGAACTCAAAACATGAAGCATCCAAGTGCGGAATTGCGATCACAAAAACGACATGGTCTTCAACGGCAAGCGTCAGCAGGCGACAGGGACGGACCATTACGTGTTCACGCACACCGGCGTAGACGGCGACAGCATTGAAATTCCCAGCGCGGACCAGATCACCCAAAGATTTCCCAACCATCCTGTTGTGTTGGGTCCTCGTTTTGAAAGGAGCGCCCCGCATTCCTGACTCCTTCCTCCTCCCCCTCCCTCCTCCCCCCCCTCCTTCCTGCCTGCGTTTCGCCCACCCAGTACAGCGCTTCGTGGCCCCATAGGGAGCTCCACCGAAGGTCCCAGTGGTAGGGTTCGCATGGCGGCCCCGCGCCATTTTGGCGCACCGTTCACACGGCTCGTGGTCCCATAGGGAGCTCCACCAAAAGCCCCAGTGGCAGAGTTCGCATGGCGGCCCCGCCTGATCTTGGCGCACCCTTCACACGGCTCGTGGCCCCATAGGGAGTTCCACAAAAGGCCCCAGTGGGAGGGTTCGCATGGTGGCCCCCCTCACGGTTCGTGGCCCAATAGGGAGCTCCACCGAAGGCCCCAGTGGCAGGGTTCGCGTGGCGGCCCCGCCTCATTTTGGCGCATTCCTCACACGGTTCGTGGCCCCATAGGGAGTTCCACCGACGGCCCCAGTGGCAGGGTTCGCATGGCGGCCCCGCCTGATCTTGGCGCACCGTTCACACGGCTCGTGGCCCCATAGGGAGTTCCACCGAAGGCCCTAGTGGCAGGGTTCGCATGGCGGCCCCGCCCCAGTGTGGCGCACCCTTCACACGGTTCGTGGCCCCATAGGGGGTTCCACCGAATGCCCCAGTGGGAGGGTTCGCATGGCGGCCCCGCGCCATTTTGGCGCACCGTTCACACGGTTCGTGGTCCCATAGGGAGCTCCACCAAAAGCCCCAGTGGCAGGGTTCGCATGGCGGCCCCGTCCCAGTGTGGTGCATCCCTCACACGGTTCGTGGCCCGATAGGGAGTTCCACCGAAAGTTCCAGTGGCAGGGTTCGCATGGCGGCCCCGCCCCAGTGTGGCGCATTTTTCCCACGGTTCGTGGCCCCATAGGGAGCTCCACCGAAGGTCCCAGTGGCAGGATTCGCATGGCGGCCCCGCGCCATTTTGGCGCACCGTTCACACGGCTCGTGGTCCCATAGGGAGCTCCACCAAAAGCCCCAGTGGCAGAGTTCGCATGGCGGCCCCGCCCCAGTGTGGCGCATCCCTCACACGGTTCGTGGCCCCATAGGGAGCTCCACCGAAGGCCCCAGTGGCAGGGTTCGCGTGGCGTCCCCGCCCCATTTTGGCGCACCGTTCACACAGTTCGTGGCCCATTGGGTTGGGCCTTTCGCCCGGATAATTTGGCCGCGAGTTCACATTCTATGACCTTCACCAGGCAGAGCTACCCAACAGGTTCGCGTGTGGATGATGTTGTTTAAACCAGCGTCGCGACAACTTCACGAGCAAGCGGTATCCCCTCCACAGCGCACTCCAGTTGCTCAGCGGAACGCAGATACCAGCATTTCCGTACGCTTGCACCTCTTAGGTTCGCACGAAGGACATGCTCCAATAAACACGACGCGCCCAACGACAGCTGCAACAACTCATCTTGAACACCACGAGGCATGCATTTCGTGTCGGCTTGTGCACCCGCGCGGCCGTTCCATACCGCCGTACCCATCCTTCTCCGTTCCGTTTCTCTTTCTCTCTCTCTCTCTCTCGTTCTGTCTCTCTCCCCCTCCCATACATAATACATACATGCACACACCATCACTTTGTATCGTTTTGTGTAAGAGCTGAGGGACGGGAGCGGCGCAGACGCCGCATCGCCCCGTGGCCTTTCCAGGCCATTTTGCGGCCCATTGGCTATGCGTTTGCGTTTTCCCTAAGCCAGCCTTTGATGTTTTATCTCTCAGCGGCCTGATGCAGGTTCAGACCGCAGAGGGCCCCTCAGCCCCGACACGACCCAGCGTCCAAGACACCATCCGCCGCCGCCGCCTGGCGCCCGCGCCCACCCCTGCTTTCCTGCTCCTTCTTCCATCTCCCCCCTTGCCTCCCTCCCGTCTCCCCTGTCGGCCGCCTGCGCAGCGCATGCTGGGGCAGCGCGCCCTGGATATGACGCTGCGGGCGCTCTTCCACGAGGCCCCGTCGGCGGCCACACCCCATGGCAGTCAGTGAACAGCGGCCATGGGGCAAACGTGTCCTGGAGGTTTTTCCCAGTTTGCGGGCTCCCCAGGCCGCCCCAGGACCCCTGGATCGGCATCCCCCCAACATACTTATACTATGTGTTCGTCGCCCCCCCAGGGGCGACGCGCGCACCGAGAAATCTTGTAGTATATGCGTCGTGGCGGGCGCTTTCTGGCCACACCGCTCGAGAAACGATATACTACAAGATGGGTATACTACATGTTCGGGTCGGACGCGCGCCTCCAAGGAGGACATATAGTATTAGTATGTCCATGTGCGTCCCACTGGACCGTCAAAATCTCTTCAGGATAATAAGTTCGTTTTGGGCAAAGTCCTCGGGGTCCATGAGCCGTTTTTGCCATGACCAGGTTCCTTCGTGCCAGTCCCCACCACGACCGTTCTGTCCAAGGAGTGGCAGGAGGAGAGGAGGGCGGAGGAGTTGGAGGAGGAGCAAAAATTCTTTGATAATGGCAATGAAAGACGATCCAGCTATTAATTATTAAAAAGAAAAGAAGCAAACGCCTTCGCGCAGTTCTAGGATCGAGGTCCTTAGTGTGTTGGGCCTTTTTGCCTCCTGGCCTTGGGAGGAGGAGCAGCGGCGGAGGTTGCCGCTGCTCCGCGGCGGTTGTTCAGGCCTGTTTGGGGCCCACGACTTCTTGGGTGTATGTGCATTCGGGGCTGAGGGGGAGGACGCGCACAACAACCAATTGGCAATATCAATCGGCATTGACAATCAAAGCGGCGCGGGGAGACTGTTCGAGGGATACCGGCGTCGTGACCCTGTCTCGCGTCCTTACCCCCGTCAAGCGCGAATTGTTCTGGGTGTTAAACTGATAAAGGGGATGAGCCGTAGGAGAACGCTGAAGAGAATTTGAATGGGGATTGCCTGAAGGAGTTGCAGAATGCGAAGGGTGCGGCGAAGGAAGGGATGACAAATTGGACGAGGAGAACGGGGAGCTTCTCATGGCGCCAGCAGGCGGTGAGGAAGGAGAGGGAGGCGTGAGAGGAGAACGAGGTGGAGGAGTTTGAGGAAAAGGATGACGAGCAGGAGGAGGAGAATTCTTCCACCACAGGGACTTCATGTTGGTTTCTTGCAGATGTCCCTCGCATGGGTCTGGGGCCCGGGGTCCAGCGACCTACGACCTCGTCGAGCTGCTTGCACCGTGGACAAAGCCACGATGAGACGGAGGAGCAGGAGGGGGCAGGATTATGATGAAGAAGAGAGTCAAAACGGGGTGGGAGGAGAAGAAGTCGAATAAAAACCAAGACGTGGGAAGAAAGGAGAAGAGGAATACGTACGGTGAAGAGGAGGAGGAGGAGGTTGAGGAGCAGCAGGGGGCAGCTGAGGCGGGAGCCGTGCAGTGAGAGGGCGGGAGGGAGGAGTTCGGGAAGGAGGAGTGGGGAGAGACGGAAGAAGGAGAAGCAGGGTGAAGGGGTAGGAGGAAAGACATGGGAGAAAGGAGGATGCGGAGAGAGGATGCAGAATGGATGGAGAAGGCAGGATAGAGTAATGACGGAGGAGGGAGGAGGGAGCAGGGATGTTGGTGGTGGTGATGATGATTATGATGCTGAAGGCTCTGGATAGTTGTTATGATGCTGGTGAATATCATGCAGAAAATGGGGGTGAGGATGATCACAGTGAGGATGAGGACAAGGATAGTTAGTAGAAGGAGGAGGAGGAGGAGGAGGAGGAGGAGGAGGAGGCAGGAGGCAGGGTGAAGGAAGGCAAGACATTTCGTCATCGTTGTCGGTCTCGTCGTCGTCGTCGCCGTTGGCACCGTTGGCCGCTGCCGTCGTCACTCGTCGTACTGATTGCCGGCGTCGGCGTTCCTCGTCGTCGTCGTGGTCTGGCCAAAACCGCTCCTCCTCCTCCTCGTCCTCCTCCTCCTCCTCCTCCTCCTCCTCCCTCCTCCTCCTCCTCCTCCTCCTCCTCCTCCTCCTCCTCCTCCTCCTCCTCCTCATCCTCCAGTCCCTGGTCACATCGCTGGCTCCAATAGGTTTTTAAGCTCAAGCCTTTGCGACGAGAGCCCTGCAGAAGCACTCAAATACCTCCGAGACGAAGCTGTCGTCTTCGTTCGCCGCCGTCGCGGCCGATGCCTCTGCCGTCGTCGTCTTCTTCGTCGCTTGTCCTCGTCGCCGCCGCCGTCGGTCTCCGGAGGCTCTCCGAGGCCTCCATGAGTCCCCCGGAGGTTTGGAAGTGACGGATCGTTTCCAAAATAACCGGTCGTCTTCGCCGCTCGTCATTCGTCGTCGCCGTCGTTCTTCGGCGTTGGTCAGTCTTTGTTCGTCACCCACGTCGTCCGTCGTCATTCATCGCCCGTCGTCGCTGTCGTCGTTGTATTCGTCGTTTCTGGTTCGTCGTCTTTCGTCGTCGTCGTCGTCGTCGCATGCGGCAGGGCTTCACCGTGGACGAGCTGGACGCGCCGGCGACGCGCGGCTCGGGCCTCGTCTCTGCGTGGCGCCGTGAAGGTGTAGGGCCCCCTAAACCAGGACATTTCTAGCAAGCTGTTTCCCGGATAGCTCTCTGAGAGCTAAGAGGGTTTCATATTAGAAGCTGGTTCCGCAGGGTAGCCCCGGGGCTCGTTTTGGCTTCTGGCAGGAATCCCCGGAACAAATTTTGAACAATTGCAGTTAGTCCCGACATGCTTTCTTAATTGTTTCCCAATACGTGTGCCATCACGCTTTCCAGAAGCTCCTTTGTATGTAAGTCTTCCAAGAGCTTCCAGAGCTCCTTCGAGAGGCGTTGGAAGGCCCTTCTGGCGCTCCGCTATCTGAGTTTTGGACTCCACAAGTGGCAAAATGCACGTGCAGAGAACGCATAATGGAGACTGTCACGGCCTGCGGTTGCATCTTTCTCTGGCGCGCAAATGTCCTGGTTCATCCATGTCCCGTTCAGGGGTTCCTGAACGAAGAGGGGATCCTCCCTGAGATTTTGGCTTTGCAAGTCTTCACGATCATCGGCCCTCATGGATCCGGCTCGAGAAATACCGTAGAAGATTGCGTCGCGGGTTTTGGTCGAGATATTGAATCGTTTCGTTCGGTCCGCCGTTGTCGCATAAACGGACGATGATGAGAAGAGGCCAGGGGATTGTGGAGTATTTCGGTATTCCATAAGGTTTTTTACGAGTTTGCATCCTTCTCTGTATTACTATACTTATCTTACCTCTCTCTCTATGGATCTATGCACTCCTTCCTTAAGCTGCACCGTTATTATGCCAGCCTCTTCAACAAACAAATGCCGATGCGATAGCAATCAATTGCCAACCAAAGCCAATGCAATGCCAATTGGGGATTATTCTCTTTCGGTGGATTTCAATAAGAAGCCTTCTGTGGATGATGTCATGACAAATCCTTCCTCGGAGGATTTCGATAGCAATGCTTCTGTGGAGGGTTTCGACAGGAATCCTTCTTTGGAGGATTTCACTAGGGGGTTTCAATAAAAACCTTTCTTGTGGAGAATTTCAATCGGAATCCTTCTGCGGAGGGAGCCATGAGGACTCGCTGGCGCAATGCCAGCGCAATGCTGAAGCAGAGCCAACGCAATGCCAAACCAGTGCCAAGGCGACCCCCATCCAATGCCACTGCTATGCAAATGGGGGTAATCCGTTGTGGTAGATTTCGATAAGAATCCTGTTGGGTGTTGCAATAGGACTCCTTCTGCGAAGGGAGGCATTGGAACTCGCCAGTGCATTGCCAGCGCAATTTCAAAGCAGTGCCAACGCAATCCCAGCGCAATGCCAATGTGATCCCACATCCGATGTCAATGCAATGCCGTTGGGGGCAACCCTTTGTGGTAGATTTCCATAAGAATCCTGCTGGGGGTTGCAATCGGACTCCTTCTGTGAAGGGAGGCATTGGAACTCGCCAGCGCAATGCCAGAGCAATGCAAAAGCAGTGCCAGCGCAATGCCAATGCGATCTCAAACCCGATGCCAATGCAATGTCGTTTGGGGCAACCCTCCGTGATAGATTGCCAACGGTATCCGTTTTTGTTGAGGGCTTGCATTCGGAATCCTTCTGCGAAGGGGGGGCATTCGGACTCGCCAGCGCAATGCTAAAGCAGTGCCAAGGCAATGCCAAACAAACGCCAAGGCGACCCCGATCCAATGCCAATGCTATGTCAATTGGGGTAATCCGCTGTGGTAGATTTCAATATGAATCCTTCTGGGGGTTGCAATAGGACTCCTTCTGCGAAGGGAGGCGTTGGAACTCGCCAGCGCAATGCCAGAGCAATGCCAAATTAGTGCCAACGCAATGCCAATGCGATCCCAAATCCGATGCCAATGCAATGCCGTTGGGGGCAACCCTTTGTGGTAGATTGCAAAAGGATTTTTTCCAGGGGGGGTTCAAGAGGAATCCTTTTGCGAAGGGAGGCGTTCGGACTTGCCAGCGCAATGCCAAACCAATGCCAACGCAGTGCTAAACCAATGCCAAGGCGACCCCACTCCAATGCCAATTGGGGCAATCCTTTATGTTAGATTTCATTCGGGATTCTTGCTGTGGAGGGTTGTAATAGGAATCCTTCTGCGAAGGGCGGCATTCGGACTTGACAGTGCAATGCCAGCGCAATGCTCACACAGGGCCAACGCAATGCCAAACCAATCCCACGGCGACCCGATTCCGATGCCAATGCGATGTCGTTGGGGGCAATCTTTTGCGGTGGATTCCAATGAGCATCCTTCTTCTGGGGGTTGCAATAGGAATCCTTCTGCGAAGGGAGGCATTGGGACTCGCCGGCGCAATGCCAGCGAATCTTTAACGCAATGCTAAAAATGTTAAACTGAACCAATGCCAATCGGGGGCGTCATCTCTTGGTGTATTTCAGTGAGAATCATGTTGGGGTGATGTCATTGCGAACCCATGGTCGGAGGACTTCAAAAGGAAACCCGATGTGAAGGGCTTCGAATGCAATCCTTCTGTGGGAGATTTGAATGTGAATCCTATTTGTGTGTGGTGACGGGTGTCACT